AGTAGGGGGGGTGGAAGAGGTGGCGGAGGGGGGAAATTGCCACAGTTATCTTAGACCATAGCTTTCTTAACCTGGAATTAAGCATCTTTTTTGATGCTTTTTTAGAAGAAATGTTTCCTCTTGCGTTTGGTTCTTTGCTGTAGTTAAGATTGGTCTGGTTTTCCCAAAACAAAGAGACTCCCTACCGACTGGGAGGAAATTTTTGCACACAACACTAATGATAAAGGACTACAAAGCTGCAAAGAGCTGAAGAGACTCAACAAAAACAAAGTAAATAATCCAGTCAAAAAATGGGCAGAAAAGCTAAAAAGGAACTTCTCCAAAGAGGAAATGCAAACAGCCAACAGGCATATGAAAAAATGTTCAACATCACTTGTAGTCAGGGAAATGCAAATCAAAACTACAGTGACATACCATTTTACACCAGTGAGAATGGCACATATTAAAAAAAAACTAGCAACAACAAATGTTGGTGAGGATGTGAGAAAAAGGAACTCTCCTGCACTGCTGGTGGGAGTGCAAACTGGTCCAACCACTATGAAGAGCTGTGTGGAGATTCCTCAACCTGCTGAAGATGGAGCTTCTATATGACCCAGCAATTCCACTCTTAGGTATTTACCCACATGACACAAAAACATTAATTCCAAAGGGCACCTGCACCCCTATGTTTATAGCAGCACTATTTACAATAGCTAAGCTTTGGAAACAACCCAAAATGCCCAAAAATGGATGACTGGCTCAATAAGAAGTGGTACATATACACAGTGGAATATTACTTAGTAATCAAAAAAGATAAACTGATGCAATTTGCAGCAACATGGATGGAGCTGGAAGGGATCATGCTGAGTGAAATAAGCCAGAAAGAAAAAGAAAAATACCAGATGATCTCACTCATAGCAGGAATTTAGAAAACCTAAATAAGGGACCAGGAAAAAAACTAATTATAATAAAGTAAAAATCAAAATCAACAAGCAACTATAAACCAGAGACACACTACCTGGGCGGGGGGGGGAGAATTAGGGGGATGGGAATTATATGGGGACTATAACCAAGATAAAAATGCATATACATTGAGCAAAAGTGAAAAATGATGTAAAAATATATAAAATGAAAAAAAAGATTGGTATGGTTTTCTAGATGATTCAGCTTAATATCTGGATTTCATTGCTCTTCAATACTTTAGCTATCTATTGAAATTCTGCTCTGTGTCAGTAACTGTCAGATTCTAAAATACAGTCATGAATAAGAAACTTAAAGTTTATTGTGGAAATATACTTAAGCAGAAGAGTGCTAGGATAGAATTGTATTTTAAAGTTTATTTGTATTGTGGGTTAATTAACACTGTATGTTTGCTTTTATTAGAAGTGTCATCTTGAATTTCAAAATCTTTTATTCATTTTATAAGTGAATTTTGGAAACATTTAATATAACCTGTTCATAAGTTGACCTCCCTTTTTATGTTATATAATTACATGCTTCATTACAATAGTCATAATAAACTAACCTAAATTAAACTGTTCATTTGAGTTACTTATTGCTAAAATTATATTTAGCAGTGAAGTAAAATGTTTGGATTTTCCAGTTAGTGTACCAAAGATTGTAGTAGTAATATCTTCGGTTTGAACCCAACAGATTTATTTATTTATTTATTTTGTAATTTGGTTTCTTGTAATTTCCAATGGTTATATAAATGAAGTTCTAGTGTTTATAGCAGTTTTTGTAAGATAGAAGGATACTTTTATGGGTGCTAAGAAAGGAGACATAAAAGATGAAGGGGGTATAGAATAGTGGAGGGAAAAATCCATAGTATTATTAATTTAGTAAATACTAAGAAAATCACTACTTTTTGACATTCTGGTACTAACTCGAAAATAATTTTAAATTTTGTCTTAGACTGAGTTTTATCCAAAGCGTATTTATGCTCTCCTTTCCTATGAAGCAAATCTTACTTCTGCACATGTATGTTTTTATAGATCTCTGCTTATAGGATTATAGCACTATATAGCAAAGGTTAGTAAATGCTTTATGCATACAATTTCTAGTATGTAAAGTGTTTTGTGGACCTGGTCTTTAATTTTCTTTTATTTAACTCATATCTTACTAGGTTTTTTTTAGCCAGTCTTAAGTCCAACCTTCAAAAACAGTTTTCTGTAGTTTATGTGTTATCATGTTTTGGTATGTGTGAGAGAATGGAGGGAGGAGAGATGATTCTGGGTCTTGGACCTTGAAGATGGTATATTTGAAGATTCTTATGATAATGTTTTTCCTTTTTCTTATTAACTTGAAGCTTTTATTCATACCAAGAAAACTGTAATAGTTTATTTTTTTTTTTTATTATTTTTTTTTTAATATTAAATTTTATTTTTATATTCCCCCATACAATTGCAAACGCCCCATTCTGACCCCAATCCTTCCCCTCCCGCCCCCACCCCCCAACAAGTGTCTCTGGTTCATAGTTTTTTGTTGATTTTGATTTTCACTTTCTTATATTCATTTTCCTGGTCCCTTATTTAAGTTTTCTAGATTCCTGCTATGAGTGAGACCATCCGGTATTTTTCTTTTTCTTTTTGGCTTATTTCGCTGAGCATGATCCCTTCCAGTGCCATCCATGTTGCTGCAAATTGCATGTGTTTATCTTTTTTGAATGCTGAGTAATATTCCATGGTATATATGTACCACATCTTCTTGATCCAGTCATCTATTTTTGGGCATTTGGGTTGTTTCCAAAGCTTAGCTATTGTAAACAGTGCTGCTATAAACATAGGAGTGCAGGTGCTCTTTGGAATTGATGTTTCTGTGTCCTTTGGGTAAATACCTAGGAGTGGAATTGCTGGATCATATGGAAGCTCTATGTTTAGTAGGTCCAGAAATCTCCACACAGCTCTCCATAGTGGTTGGACCAGTTTGCACTCCCACCAACAGTGCACAAGAGTTCCTTTTTCTCCACATCCTCGCCAACATTTGTTGTTGCTAGTTTTTTTAATATGTGCCATTCTCACTGGTGTGAGATGGTATCTCATGGTAGTTTTGATTTGCATTTCCCTGATTACAAGTGATGTTGAACATTTTTTCATATGTCTGTTGGCCATTTGCATTTCCTCTTCAGAGAAGTTTCTTTTTAGCTCTTCTGCCCATTTTTTGACTGGATTATTTTCTTTGTTGTTGCTGAGTCTCATCAGCTCTTTGCAGATTTTTGTGATCAGTCCTTTATCATTAGTGTTGGGTGCAAAAATGTTCTCCCAGTTGGTGGGGTTTCTCTTTGTTTTTGTTATTGTCTCTTTTGCTGTGCAGAAGCTCTTTAATTTGATGTAGTCCCAGCTGTTTATCTTTCTCTTCACTATCACTGCTTTGGGTGATGTGTCTGTAAAGATGTCTTTGATGTGCAAATCCCGTAGTGTTTCGCCTATATTTCCTTCTATGTATTTTATGGTTTCAGGTCTTATGTCTAGTTCTTTAATCCATTTTGAGTTGATTTTTGTGTATGGTGTGAGGTAGTGGTCAAGCTTCATTCTTTTGCATGTAGCGACCCAGTTTTCCCAGCACCATTTAGAAAACTGTAATAGTTTAAACAGTGGTTGTTGTAATAAACAAGTAGTTTACATGTTAATTTTATTTATTTTTGATCCATGTCAATATAATAGAATTAGAATCAGACCTTATATTTTAAATATGGTCATTTTGATGGACTGTTTGGACCTTTATAAAAATAGGTTAATCTGAATTTTGTTAAATATAGTGATTACCTCTCTTCTCTTCATACAGTATTAGGGAAGAATGGTGTTGTTGGCAAAGAATAATGTTGGAGGAAAATCTTTATGCTATTCCAGAAATGGAAACACAATGCATTTACTTTTTGATTAGTATAAGGGAATTTTTTTTTAGGACTTTGAATGTCTAAGGAAACAAACAAAACTAAATACCAAGCCTCCATTCCTGCCCTCCTTTTTTCTATGTGATGAACTAAGACTTTCATAGTCACTTGAGTACCCCGAAAAAACGTTAGGGACCTGGTTAAGTTGTCAGTAACTAGTGCTTGAAAAAATGTTCAAGACTCTTAAGTGCAGACAAAGCATTACTAATTGCTTTCAGGGTCAGTCTGTCTTTAGTTTGACCATGAAAGATTTAGTATGGTTCTGTGGCAGGCAGCCCGTCTGCTGAGTTAGAGACTCTAGACTTTAAGAAAGGCTGCTATCTGATATGCTAGATAGGTTCAGGTTGCCCCAGTTTACATGAATTTAGTCATTATTGCCAAGATTACTAAACCTCAGTGTAACACAAATGATACTTCTAAATGGACTTGAAGACAAAGACATTTGACCTTGCAATGGGACATAGGTTTCATACAACTTAAAATTTTTTGCCTTTTAAATATGAAAGGAGAATGCTTTGCTGTAGAAGTCTCAGTTAAAAGATAATATTCAACAAAATTATTTTAAGATCTCTAAGTGCAAGCAGCATACCATCTTTTAAGTAAATTAAGATTTTTAGTGATATCTATCTTGTAGGTTTATGAACCTTGTCCCTTAAAGCAGCAAGGTGCCTAAGTAGATGTTTGGAATTAAAACTGAGACTGTGATAAAAAGTGAAAACAAGGATACTGACTAGGAAATCAACTATATTTTTGTTTAAGCAGAGCTCTGAATATTGTAGAATTGCAAATTTTACTGGTGCTTCTGTTTTTTCCAACGTGATTTTTTTTCATAAATCTAAAGCCAATACAGAAATTTTGCATGTGTGTAATTTTTCTACAGAACTACTATTACCTTTGCTGAAAGTACTCAAGTTGAAAATATTCAGAAGGGGAAATTTCTTTAGGCAAAGGTTGGGAAAATGGTAAAGTGATAAATTTCTAAAATACTATAAAACTTTTCATTGAATTTATATTGAAAATGTACAGTTTTCACATGATAAATGTTTAGAATTACTTCATGTGTTATTTAGACAAATAAAATTTCTTTCAGCCTTGAATAAGTTCTTTTTTGTTGTTGTTTCCTAAACAGATTAATGAAAATATGCATCAGTTTAATACTGTCTTGGAATTCATGAGATGGAAGCATAGGTCAAAGCTGTTTGAAGAAAATTGGAAGTGCAGTTTCATCTAGCTACCTCTCTGAGGTAAGGGAAACATGAAAAAGTTAGAATAATATGAAAATTTTGATTTCTTAACTGGAAATAGTCCTTCTGTATCAGTGTTGCAACCTTATTTTAGTTTCTTTAATTCTGTTCCTTATGAGGTCATAAATAGTTCTAATATTTTCCTCTCCATAAAATGTTGACCCTTTTACTAGTATTGCTTTCTTTAATTGTGGAAAATACATATTAAATCATTTTTATACAAAGCAGAATTCAGAATGGAAGTTTATTTTATTTATTTATTTTTTTTGTGGGACCCTCGCTGGCGGCTGGGGAACGAATCGGCACTGCAGAGGCTGTGGGCAGCCTGGCAGCCCAGCACTCAGCTGCTGAGCCACGAGGGGAGGCCCGGAAGTTTATTTCAAAAATGATGTTTACAAAATCACTATCTTAGAATAATATATCTTTGAAATAAAGGTTTTTACTCACAGCTTCTCTTTTCTTACATCATTCATTCATCTTCTTTTATCCTTGTCAAACTGTTATATTTGTTTTTTTTTTTGAGAAATACTTCTGACTTTCTAAGTGTCATGAGGCTGCATACTGTTTGATCACTTTAGTAGTAGACATTTTTCCTTTCTTGAAATTCTTCTGGTTTCTAAGACCCTGTGCTCTTCTAGTTCTGTTTCTTTTATTATACCTGCATAATTTCTTTATCCTTACCCTCTTAAATTCACTGATAAAATATTTTTATGTCTTTCCTAATCTCATGATTTTAACAATTACCTTGAAAATTATCTCTCAACTTTATAGCTCAGTCGTGGTACTGTGTCTCAGCCTCAGGTCCATATTTTCAGCTGCTCTTTCCTACCCATGTTCCCCCTTCTGTTACTGGATCTTTGTTACCCATGCTTAGTGCTGAATCAGATTCCTCATCTTTTCCTTCTTGCCCTCGGAGATCAGATGTTACCATTTTTACCTCAATAATGTATCCTGAATCTTTTCATTATCTTTTTTATTATCCCATCACTATCCAAGTTAAGGTATTTATATTGTATTTTTTTGGAAATATAACTGGATTCACTTAACTTTGTACCTCTCCTCACTTACCTTCCCTCTGCATGTTGCTGACAGCTTAAATTTTTTGAGAGATAATTCTACCTTTACTGTGAGTGACTTTTCAGTAACCTGCCAAAGTAAGGACAAACTCTTAAAATATTAAAGCCTTTCAACAATATAGCATTAAGTCAGTGACACCTTTGCCTGCACACATCTATTTCCTTCTCCTTTAAAACACTTAAAACACTTGCTCTGTGCCAGACACCGTATTAGGTGCTGAGAATAGAAAATGAGTTCCTTGCTTTGCTCTCAAAGGATGGTGTGTTTAGAGATGAGTATGTAAACAGTTATTTCTAAGTGTAGTTGAAGAGTGCTTGTCATATTGAAAAAATGTATTGGCATCAACTACAAAGACTCTGCCAATGTGTTTAGAGGAGAGAATTGTCAAGGAGACTTCATAAAGGAAATTATATTGGAGTCGAGTCTTGAAGGAAGAGTAGAAGATTGCTAAGTGGAATTTTGGAGATGAGAATTAGGTGCACAGAACCCATTGTAAGCAGGGGAAGCATGAAAAGATAAAGAACATACAGAAGACATTTTGTATGGTTTACGCTCAGGTTGTGAGAGCAGCTTTGAGGGACAAGGTTAAAAGAGATTTTGATTGTGAAGAAGGTGTTATTTTGAAAGTAGTTTGCAGTCACTGAAAAATTTTAACAGGTATTTTGGATCATGACTATGTTTTGCTTGTAGTGATAAGAGTGATAGCTTGGAAGGGGGAGATGCCAAAATCAGAGACTTAGTATACTCTTAATTGTTTCAAGCAAGAAATAATGAGATTCTTGATAAAAGGTAGGGCCCAACTTCACTGAAATTATAAAAACCTTTAAGCACTGATCACTTAGCAAATGTTTAATTTCTTTTACTGCTACATGTGCTATACTCAATAGCTAATGATTTGAAATTCTTATATTTTGTCTCCTTTCTGTTCATATGATATTTTTCTCCTGGCATGCTTTTTCCTTTTTCTCTCTTTGTAGAAGACCTATGAATTTTAAGTAATTTCAAGTACCAGTTGAGAACCATAAGTTCCTTTCTCTTGACTGTGAAATTATGTTTTTTCTTAATATAAGACCGTGGAGTACTTATTTTTTATTCTATATTGTATCTTTGGGTCCCTCTGAAACTGTTTAACAGCAAATCATAAAGAAGGAGGAATCAGAAAATAAGAGCATGGTCCCACCCTCTGTAGTTCTATCAGGAAGGTTATGTATATTAAGTAAAGTGAGTAATGAAAATTGATAAAAATGATGAACACAAAGGAGAAATTACTTCTATAGTCACAGTTATGAGGAGTACAGATAGAACATAGGACGAGTTATTTCAACTAAGCTTTGCAAAATGAGTAGAATTTGAATAGTAAAAAAAAGGGGGGGGATTTTTTTTTTTTGAAAAGCTGATTAATAGAAAATGAATATTTTTATAGGAGTGGTAGAGGTGTTGGGGAGGGTAGGAAATATAACATAAAGGAAATTATACTTTAGGGAAATTAGTGGTAATGTATAAACATATGTCATTAGAGAAATGTAATGAGGAATCAGAGGGCTTAAAGTTTGTAACATGAGGTAATCAGAATTTAATCAGAATAGGCATAGTAGAAGTAGATGAGAAAATTGGATTAAATACTGTGAAGGAAGAAGAGACACTAATTGGTTACTAAAGTTTGGAGTATATTGGATGATGCCCACATATTTTACCCAGATTGTAGGGGTACTTTTGCATTGCTAAGTAATAAACATCATTCCTCAAGTCCTGTTGGGTCCAAGTTTTCTGAGTTTATTATTTTGTTTTTCCCCCTCTGCCAACATCCCTTATACTCCTTTTAGTTTTTTAAGTTTAAAGAAACTAACATTAATGTTCTGCTGTATTATTGGTCTCTTAACTTGTTTACATACAACAAATATTTTTATATATCACTTTCAAGGCATATCAAAAGGGAGATGTTAAAAAAAGCAAAGTATTGCCTCTTTTAGAAGAGGAGGTTTCAAAGAAATAATGCTCTGTTCATATTTCTTAAACTGTAGTTTTTAATTCTATGTTAGATTTAGTAAAATTTAAGAAGTTATAAAGTATTTCTACAGAGTGAGTGATTCAAGAAAGAGATCAAGAAGAAAAATGGGATGCGTTTTTAAGGCCTAGACCTAGCAGTCATTGTCACTTTCACTTCATCTGTTTGTTAGAAGGTAGTCACTCAGTCTAGTTCATTTTCAAAGGAATTAGGTTCCAGCTCTTGAAGAGTATGAAAGAAATTTGTGGCCACATTTAAAAGCTTCCATGACTTAGTTTACTTTTTAAGAGAACTCTTAATGGATGAGTACAATTAATTTATCCAGTAACATAACATAACATGTCCTTTAGGAATATTTAAAAATTGTCCTTGTATCAGTGTGGTGCATTTGGAAGTGCAAAATGATACAGCCTCAGTAGGGATTATCAAAATATTTATTAAAACTACCATTAGACTCCCTCTTCTGGGATTCTATCCTACAGATTAATTTGTCCAAACAACAACAGCAATAAAGACATCTATTCAGGTTTATTTATTGTAGCATTGCTCATATTACCAATGTGTGGAAATGATCTAAAATGTCATTGGCAGGAGAATGAATAAATATAGCTGTATGATATACATAAGGTAGAACACTGTATAACGATGAAAATGAATTGAAAGAAGCTTTATGTATACATCATGGAAATCACAGTGTTGTGAGAAATAAGTAAATTATAAAAATATACAGAACAATGTAACTTTTGTGTGTTTGTGTGTATATTAAGTATAACAATATACAAAGCAATGCCGTATGCTTTGGGGGACACATGCCATAGATAGTAAAAGCATATAAAGACAGGATGTGTTGAATACCATGTGAATGCTGAATCAAAAGAGCAATTACCTCAGAGAGAGAGGATGGTGCTTCAATCAGCACATAGGTAATTCTTACATGAAGTCAAGTATATTTTAACCTGAAAAGATGTTCAGAGACAGAGTAAAGAAAATAAAATGTAAATGCTTCATCTACAGACGGAAAACTCTTCCTGGATTTGCAAGTGCTTCACAATAATAAGCAGGAATTTTTAATGCTGCAGCTGTTCTTTCATAGCTCTACAGGTTTGTAAGGTTCAGTTTCCTGTAGTTTGTGATCCATGCTAGTCAGGGAAGAATTGTCAGTGATCTGATTTTAACACCCTCTGGTCTAATCAGGGCCTTTGGTGATTTGCAAGTTATATAGAAGTGTTATACATGAACTTTTACTTGTCACAACTTTAGGACTGCAGTTGAGTTTAGATATGCTTTGAAGTTCTTTTTGTCAGACCCCATTGTTCATACCAAAGAACCAATTATGATTATTTCCGAAATTATTTAACTTGCTTTAATTATGTGGTTCTGTAAGCGTGTAGTCCAAGCCATTGTCTGCCTTAAAACAATAGTGTACCTCTTGGGAAGCAATGTTTATTTATACATGCCCTTCTTAAAGACCTTTTAATTTACATCTCAAGCTTGGGTATATGCAGGGAGTGTAGAAAAATTTCACTGAATCTTGACACAAGTCATTGTTTGAAGTAATTAGAATTGGATAGTTTATCCACAGCATAGCCCTTTTGGGAAAGCCTCATTTGTAGATGAAAGTAGAAGAAATTGGCATAATGTTTTAATTTCTTCTGCTATTCAATCATTCCTTCAGCAAATATTTATTTAGTGCCAACTATGTTTCAAGTACTGTTCTAGGTGCTAAAAGTATAGAGTAAAAATAATAGACTTATACCTTTGCCCCTATGGAGCATACATCCTGGAGTAGGTGGTGGCAGTAAATAAAATAAGTAAATTATATATCAAATTCCAGGATGACAGGTGCTAAAGAGGAAAAAAAAAAAAAGAATCAGAGAAGGATAGGTGTGCAAAGGATGAAAATGGATTTGTTTGTTTA